CGAAGGTGATTTAAATCTCGTAGGGAATGGCCCTTCAGCCTCATCGGTCTGGCCTTCCCGTCGGATAGGAGGTTTTTGACAATGCCAAAGTAGAGAACTTTTGGTGAAGCTCACCAATCAATGTCAACTCATTTCTCACGGTTGGATTAATCTATCACAGGAGGTTGATTTAATAAGATAAAACCCTGGGAGCTGTAATCTTCAGGCCCGGCTCTTTGTGACAAGAGAAGCGGGGATGTGTTAGGTGGAAGGAACAGTTTATTCTGTAGAGAGGAATTAGTGAATAGGCAGGAAGAATCTGACTGTCAGATGAGCGCACGTCCGCGGGCCGTGTCTGAGGTTTAGTCAGTGCGGGAATCATTACAAGCGGTCAAAGCGGCCTTTGTGCGAGTCCACCTTGAAAGGTGATTGACCAGACTGGGGAGTCAGACGCACATGTGATTGGCTGCCCCAGAGCCCGACATCAGCAGCTGTAGGCGCCCGCGTCTATGTGGCGTGAGTCACTACAAATCTGCCTAAACCCAGTTGCCAAATGCGCACACCAGGCCACTCAAACGGTCGCCGTTTTAATGTCCACCGTTTAGGCTTTTCCTTAATGTATAGTCTGGGAACAGCTAATGGCTACACATTTTATGCGACCGCCTACCGATCACGCACACTTGTTCATCCCGCTCACTCTTTGAATTCTCCCAGAACTCGGTGCCTCAACAGGAGAACGGCTCTGACTGTGGTGTCTTCCTCTGTACCTTTGCGGAATTCCTCTCTCGTGGCACTGAATTCACCTTCTCACAGGTAAGTCCAGCCGTATTTTTAGCCTCTTTTTTTCTGATTGTACTACCGGCAACTCGTACCTCAAAAGGCAGTTGTCGATCTACCCCCTTATGTGGTGGCGCCTAAGTGCTGATTAGATGGCTCAAGACTTGCGCACAGATCATATAGGTCGTTGCTACCGAAACCCTGTGTTCTGTCCTCTGATCGAAGTAGATCGATAAGTGGAACCTAGTGAAAATCGGGGTACGCTAACTCGTATAGTTTCATATTGCAGCGGCTCAAAAAACAAGACATCTTTTGGCTTTTGGGACTTAGTTGTTTGGGTGAGATTTTGTACCAAGTTTGAGCCAGTATGATTTAGTCCGTTTCTGTTCGCAAATTATTCCGTTTTCGGTTTTTCTGAGATGCGCCAGTGTATGGGGGTGTCTTAGCAAGGTGGTCAGTGATGCAGTCACCGAGAACAAGCGGACGCAATACCATCTATATTGCTTGATAACATTTCTGTAGACACTGGTAGCAGTCGTCGATCAGAATTATCGTAATAACTCTCTGGTAAATCGCTCCACAACTTTTCTGCCCATAGCCCTGTTAATGGGAGCCTTGATATCTCTCAGGCATCGCCAGCGTCAGTCCAACTTGGATGCATTTGGGCAAAAAACCTGACCTGCACGTTGTGGCATACCAACTGCTTTTTTCCTCGATTAGCAGACATGCCTATCGAGGAGTTAATCGGTTAAACCCTAGCAGCTGCGATCTTCAGGCGCGGTTCCTTAGGAGAAGGAACGGCGAGTAGGCAGGAGGAAATTGACTCTCAGATGAGTGCAGTGCGTTCCCTAGAGGGGCGGCATCCGGATTTCGGG